AAAAAAAAAAAAAAAAAAACTTGCAAGCTGCCATCTAAATGCAATGATGGGTCACTCTTCACCCAGGGCAAAGGAGAATGAACAAAACCAAAGATGCATGGAAACAATTAGTCCAAGGCACTGGTAAACCATGTGATCCTCATCCTTTATAACCATGAGACCAGAAGAACTACATGGTGCCCAGATACCACAGTCAACCACTCAGGCAGTGGGGAGTGGCAATGGAATCTGTGTAGGTTATCCTGCATAGAGTCAGAGGACAATGTGGAAAAAAAATCAAAATTAACAAACAACAACAAAAAAAATGAAGACCAGGTTTGCTGGTCTAATAAAGCCTGTGAGACACTGAGACTATGGCCCCTAGTTGCCCTTCATTTCTGGTACTGAACTCACTTCTGTAGCTTCCAGCCAAACAGTAGACAGGCATGTGGGGTGAACATTTACATCAGGTAGATGCACTCCTAGGAGTAATCAATCATGGGGAAATAGGGCAGTGTGTGCGCAGGGAGACAGCTCAGGGGGTGGTGGGTGGGGGTAGTGCATGGGAGGGAAGGACACAGAGAAGAGATAACTACAGGGAGGAAGTGGGAAAAGAGCTGTTATATTGTGGGAATTTGCAGTCAAGGTCAGAAAGCAAAATGTGTACGAACTGCTGGACTACAAGTCTTTGAAAAAACAAGAGACAGTTCTATATGTATTGATATACAATAGTAGCCAAGCTCTAACATTAGGTGGACAAGGCAAGGTGCAAAATAATGTACATATTAGTTAATAGTGTTCATTTTCTTGAGCATAGATGAAGGGTTTATCACAAGGACAGAAGAAATTTGCTACTTTTTTTACTCATTACTATTTCTACCTTTTGAATTTTACTCAACATAATTGCAATAAATTTTTTAAAAATTCAAAGACTCAGAACCAATCTTTGTGTGTATCTGTCAGTTTCATGTTCCTTAAAGTGGAGAGATGTTACTAGTGAGCGTTTTACGTGTTTCTTTCTTTTGGCTTTAGTCTGACCAGCACGTTACCTAATCCTACTTGCCCTGAACATGAAGTTTGTTTTACCAGAATTCTGATCAGATCATTGTCCTCTCCACACGAGTCTTGACAGGATCTACTCTTCTTATAATCTTGAAACCAAAGCCTAACCAAACCAAACCCACAGCCATCAAGTCAATCCTGACTCATAGTGACCCATGAGGTAGATTGTCTCTTCTTCCTCCCCAAGAACAGCTGCTGGGTTTGAAATACCAAACTTCCTGGTTAGCAACAAAATGCCTCAACTACTATGCTACCAAAGAGGTAAATATTAAGCAGATGGGGAACAGAAAAACACATCAAGTCCTTATCATCATTGTCAATTTATGCCAAATACATATACTAGATATATAGATTTTTGTTAGAAATTAAAGTTGCTAGAACACAGTAACATCAAAGAGACTTGAAAGGAAACATGTAGCCATCAAACACAAGGTCATGAATGAATCCATGCCTTCTCTAATTGAACTATTCATCTCTTAGCCTTCTCCTAACAGTCGTATAAATACTAGTTGACTCTCTTCATTTGCCAGCAACTCAGGCTCCTGACACTCCATACAGGTCACTGGACTCCAGGAGACTCAATGCCATGAGGACCCTTGTGTTCCTTGTTGCCATTCTTCTGCTGGTCCTCCAAGCCCAGGCTGAGCCACTCAGACAAACAGATGATGAAATTCCAGCCCAGGATGAGCCTGGAGCAGAGGACCAGGATGTGGCAATCTCCTTTGCAGAAGACAAACGTTCAGTCCAAGAGGGTTCAGGTAAGATCAAGTGTTTTAGGGGGATCTGGCTCCAGTTGTGCCTCAAAATAGTCATGTTGTTGTTGTTGTTATGTGCCATCAAGTCAGATCCAACTCACAGCGACTCCTCCTTGGGTTTCCGAGGCAGTATCACTACAGAAGTAGATTTCCCACCCTTCCTTCTGAGGAGGGGCTGGTGGGTTTGAACCACCAGTCTCTGGTTAGCAGTCAAGGGCCCTAGGCACTGTGCTACCACAGCTCCTAAAGTAGTCAGAGAAACATTAAAAACAAAAGTTATGGAGTTAGAAACTCTTCAAGGGCACTTTCAGCACCAAAGGATTTGGTTCCATAACATGTGTGAGGGAAACTTAGCAGCTTCAGCTACTGAGATGACACAAGTCCTGTTAGAGGAACTTGTTGTACATGGAGGTTGTGCTTGAAATGGAGATGTGAGGATGAGGAGGAATGAGAAGTTCATAGCCTTGAGTTTGATTGTGTATTCTATGACATGGGAGTAGCTTGTAAATGATAGACAGGGCTGGGGAAACTGATCCTGCACAACCAACATATAAGTAAGATTAGTTTTGATTTATGGTAAAAATTTAAATTCTGATCCTCCTAATAGCACAGCTATATGGCTATTGTCAGTAGACGTGTGACTTCTTAGCATATCTCTATTAGTCTGACTCTGCTTCTTTTTTCCTCATTGGCCATTGTGCTTTACACACAAAGTTGTCTATTCCCAGACAAGAGTCATCTGCTATTGTAGAATAAAAAGTTGTGTTTCCCTGATGGTCACATTACTACACATAATATCAGAGTGGGTCTCTCATCCAATGTGATCAACATTACCTATTTATCATTACTCATATCTACCCTATTGACATTGACAATTGCTTTAGACCTAATTTAGTCAATTTGACCCACCCATTCAACCAAGCATATACATTCAACAGCAAACTCTGCTTACAACCCACCTGTACCCAATACTTAAGGCCTAATACTTGATCTGTTTTTCAAGACTTAAGGAGGACCCGTATCTGCTACTGCAGAAGACTAGTCTGTCATGTTGGAGAAAGTCACTTTGGGAGATGCCAGTACAGAGGTCCTTTGTACAGACGCTGCTGCCGCTAAGTTTCAAAAACAGAGATGGAAGAGTTGATAATTTGTTTTGAAGATCTATATAAGAATTATTATTATTCCTTGCACCTAATCCTCAATTTTCTTTCCTTGTCCTAAATACATTCCATGCAGAAAATTCTGTGTGTGTGTGTTTGTATTTTTGAGGTTGATATCTATATAATTCTGTGCTCATTACAATGCAGCTTTACTCCTCAAGGAAAGCCATCATCTTCTTTCCAAAGTATTGCTGTGTTTGAACAGGCCTACATCCACCCTTTACAACCTTGAGTTTTATCAGGTCCAATGAAACAACTTTTATTAAGGTTGTGATGGGTTGTTAACAAAAAAAATAATAGGCAAAAAAAGAAAAAAAAAATCAAAATAAGACTACTAATAAAAAAACATAATGCCATTAAGTCAATTCCCACTCATAGTAATTCCCACAGGGATTCCAAGGTGGTAAATCTTTAAAGAAGTAGATCTCTCTGTCTTTTTCCATGGAGTAGCAGGTGGGTTTTAACTGCCAACCTTCCAGATAGCAATCAAATGCCTTAGGCTCTGCATCACCAGAGTTCCTTTTACCTAACATAGAGCAGGTGATTCATAAAGTATTTTGGTTTAATTAATTAACCTTCTCCAAAAAATGGATTGGGGAGACTATGAAGAAATGTGACAGGGTGAAAGTCTTGCACAACAGGTATTTTAGACATAACTTTTATTTTTTCTTGAAATCATTGAGCAGTATACCAAGGTACTACTATAGCCAAAAAAAAAAAAAAAAAAAGGAGGGGTCACAAGAGAAAAAGAACTCTACTGTAATTCAATTTCTAATTCAAATTACAAAAGTCATCAATGGATCTGACTTTACCCACAACTCAAAGTTTACTGGTCCCTACACTACAATCTTGTCCATTGCACAGGGAGAAAAGGGTGAAAGGCATGAATAGGTGAATGTAAGTGTAGGGAAAAGAGGAAAAACATTACCAGATGAAGCACAGGTAAGGTTGTGGAGGCTCAAGTTCTCTATGGCCAAACATCAAGTCAGATATCTCTTGATTAGATCCAAATGAGCATTGCTACTCCTCTTATTTGATCAGTTTCATACTCAAACTCAAAATTTAACTTTTCCAAGAGTCACTCTTCAGTCACTTACTCTCAACTCCTGAACTGTGGCAGATGCTCTGCTTCCTCCTCCAGGCCACAAATGAGCATGCACTGCTATAGCATGCATTTATAGATTATAAAGCCAGGAACCCAGACAGAGTAGCAGTCAGCCGCAGGGATCCAGGTGAGGAGAGAGAACTCAAGCACGCCCAAAGCAGCAGAATGGGAGAGCAGGAGAAAGGGGATTAAAAGGCCCAGGAACCTGGACAGAGGAGCAGTCAGCCGCAGGCACCCAGGGAAGGGTGGTACGAGAGGTTTCCAACAGGGAGACAAACCTGTCTTGTCAGTTTGTCCTTCTGTGGTGATGTGTTGACGTGAGTTTTGAGGCTGAGCCACTGGTGTTTCAAACACAGTGGGATGCACATGGTGCACAGGTATCAGCCCAGCTTACAGACTGACACAGACTAGGAAGAAGGAAGAGGCCATCCACTTCTCAAAGAATTGGCCAGGGAAAACCTTATGAATAGCAAAGAAAC